TGATACCCTTTCTGTGTTTGATATTTTTCTCCATTCTCCATTAGTTACTATTCACTATTTAGACCCATGGTGTTATCATAGGTCATGTCATCACTTTGGCCTCACTTTAGATCTTGTGTACTATTGAACTGCTCCAACTCTGATGTTTCAACATCTCAATTTGCTGACCACAATCCATATATTTTTCTTTTCTCACTCACTGTCATCTCTTCTGCAGCCTAAGAAGGACCTCCAATATCTTGAACCCCTTACCTTTTAACTTACCTCTCTTTTTCCCTACTTAAATTAGGTTTTATACTCTATTCTTTTAATTGTTCGCTTTCCAGCAACTTCCCCCAATGTGTTTCAGCATTTCACACACCCGCAGAATGCCAATCTTGCTTAAATTCAGCTATTTGGATCCTCCACTTCTACAGCAGAAAGCTGTGCCCTGCTAGAAAACAAAACAAAACAGAACGAAACAAAAGACCACCTAACATTTGTCAATGTAGTGAATCCTGACAGCCCTTTCTGTACTTCTCCTCCTTAAAACTGTCCCTGGGTTCTGTGCTTCCTGCCTCAATACCTCTTAAATTTGTCCTTCTCATATTCCCACATTGCCACCCCCTTAGATCAGGCCGCTATTAGTACCCTTTACTTCCCCAATGGCACTCACTTGCTAACTGGCCCTGCTGCCTTTATTCTTGTCCTCTTGCTATCCAGGCTCCATACAATAGCCATAATGATCTTTGTACATCATTTCATTTTCTCTTCCAACATCATTTGGTGTCATGGTTTTTGGATTTAGGATAGAAACCAAAACTTTAAACATGGTATAAATCCATATGGGATATGGCTTCTGCCCATATCTCTAATTTCATCTCCCACCTCCTCTCTTTTTTCTCCAAATATGTAAGCATGAATATCTTTTTCAAGTCAGGCTCCATGCTCGCTCTTTTCCTTGGACATTCTTACTCTTTCACTCCCCGCTTCATCCTTTTATCTCCAACTTCCTTTCTCCTGGTGACCACTTACTCATCTTTCCATTGTTTATTGCATCAAAGAACTCTTCCCTGATATATCCTCTCCTACCAAAAATACGTAACTTGTGATCTTGCTAAGTGCTTCCAAGGGACACTATCTCTCCTTTATTATAACATTTAGCATACTGTGTTTCAACTGCTTATTTGTCTATATCTTCTACTATTTCAGAAGGTCCATGAAGGCAAGGACCCAGTCTACCTTGTTCACTATTGGGCCACAGTGCACAGTACAATGCTAACAATATAGTAGGGGGCAGATATATATTTATAGCAGAGAGTATGGAGTGATGGTTAAGGTAAAATATCACGAGCCAAACCACCTGGGTTCAAATTCTAGGACTGCCCATTACTTTTTGGATAAACTTGAATAAATTACTTAACTTTCTCTATGTCTAACTTACTTACCTATAAGATGAGTGAGCTGGGCATGATGGCTCAGGCCTGTAATCCCAGTAGTTTGGGAGGCCGAGGTGGGTGGATTACCTGAGGTGAGGAGTTCGAGACCAGTCTGGTAAACATGGTGAAACCTCGTCTTTACTAAAAATACAAAAAATTAGCTGAGTGTGGTGATGCTTATCTGCAGTCCTAGATATTCAGGAGGCTGAGGCAGGAGAATTGCTTGAACCTGGGAGGCAGAGGTTGCAGTGAGATGGAGCCACTGCATTCTAGCCTCAGTGGCTGAGTAAGACTGTCTCCATAAAAAAGAAAAACAAAAGATGGGGGTTATGACAGGACTTACCTCATATGGCTGTGAGCATTGAATTAACACATGCAAAGTGTTTAGAAGTGTCTGGCACAGAGTAAACATCCAATTGGCTAATATTGTTTGTTAAAATATTTAATATAATCATTAGAAACAATAGTAATCTGCCTATCTATCTTTAGCTGAAAATGAGCATATCTTTATATATCTTTATGAACCAGTTGTGCATGTTAAATCGAATCTGTGACCCAATTAGTTATATAAACTAATAACTCAATTAATGGTAGAAACATCAACCTAGATTTTTCTTGTTAGTGATTTGGGGACCATGGCTATGTACGTTTCTGCACATTGAGTTGTGTCATTTTTTCTTTCTATTCTGATGTGACCTCACCCAGCAGTGAATCAGGCTACCAACCTGACCATGTCTGTCTTTATGCCAGCATCTAAAACCTGGGATTATCGGGCTTACTGCTTTTCAAATGAGGACTTTCCTTAATTTTTAAATGCTTGGAATGGTTCTTCTTCTACATACCTTAAAGACAGTTTTACCACCCCCCCCTTTTTTTTAAATATGAAGGAGATTTCCTACCATCTTTTATAAGTAAGAAAATAGAAACTTGTAAAGGTTCCGTTGTTTGTCCAGAGACATGCATCAGTTAATATTGAAACCAGGAATAAAGAATCAGCATTCTACGGCTCTCTTAAATTTGCAGTAAAACATTACTCTGATGTATTACTAGGAAGGAAAAGCTTAAGTAGGAGAACATAACATTTGATGTTCTTTTTGAAATTATAATCATGAATTTATGCGACACTGGTCTAATTTCCTTATAAGGTGAAGAAAATTGATTAAAAGAGATCCTTAATTGTGTATATGTATGTATAGACAGATAAATTATATCACCTATGTAAATAAAGTGATCTTGGCTCAATGTTAAGATTCTCTCAGGTACAGAGTTAGGATGAAAATCTTTCATCTGTGTCCTTAATATTCTTGAGTCTTAAGTATTAGGTTTTGCTATATGAGAGCTGTACTTATTTCTTTCTCTCCTTATCCTGCCAAACTTTTGCTATGATACATTCTTTGTCCCAGAGGACACTACTTAATAACTGCTTTGTCATTTGTCCTAGGCAATCTAGTTTCTGATCTCTTCACTGTACATACAGATGGTGAAAGTTGCCTGTAATCTGACATTTTCTTAGCTTTGATTCATCTTTCACTTTCTTTCTAGGTAACTTTGTTGATCAACTCCCCATTGTTGAAGCACACCCCTCCTCTTGCGGCAACATCTCCAAGCTTGTCTAGGTTTTGTGATACTGGTTGTCTCTTTCCTTGTTTGTAGTTGCTTCCTCTGTTGGCTCCTCTTTCTTCTTGCATGTTTGACAAAGTATCCACCAAGTTGCAGTCTTTTCTTTTTTTTTCCTCTAATTTCTGCCCTTTGAGCATTCCATTCTCTCTGTAATTTGCCCCAAGTTTTGTGAAAGGAGAGATTCTGTCTTTGTCAGTCTTATATCTATTCCTAAGACTTAGTACAATACCTGGGGTATGGTAGGTGTTCAAAAGGTATATTGACTGGAACTTATGCTATGCAGGTGATTAAAAAAATCTAAATCAATATTGCTGACTGTTCTCAACTACTAGTCCCAATAACATTTCCCACTTTCTGTGCATTTCCAATGATAACAAACATAGTCACTGCTTTTAAGCATCTGTTGTAACCTAGCCAGTCTGCTAGGTGAGTTAAATACATTATTTCTATGCTACACAACAATTCTCCAAATTACTATCATCAATACCTAAGGTAGGAGAGAATTGACATCTCTGCTAGGGACATTCAGACTCTCACTAGACTCTGAATGTCTAGTAAGCATCTCAAACTTTACACAAGTTTTCCCCCATACCTGCTCATACAACTCTTATCATCTCAGAAAGCAGCATCCCATTTATCCAGCTGTTCCCTATTCAGTGATTTGCTTTCTTACATCCAGTCAATTAACACATATGCACAGTTGACTATAAAAAATACCATCAATCTGGGCCAGGTGCAGTGACTCACACCTGTAATCCCAGCACTTTGGGCCGGGGGGAGCGAGGCAGGCAGATCACTTGAGGTCAGGTGTTCAAGACCAGCCTAGCAAAACACTGTCTCTACTAAAAATACAAAAATTAGCCAGGCATGGTGGCGCATGCCTGTAGTCCCAGCTACTTTGGAGGCTGAGGCAGGAGAATTGCTTGAACCTGGGAGGCGGAGGCTGCAGTGAGCTGAGATCATGCCACTGCACTCCAGCCTAGGCAACAGAGTGAGACTCTGTCTCAAAAAACAAACAAACAAACAAAATAAAAATATTTTTTATTTTATCTGTCTACCTTTTTTTATTTCCACCTCCCACTCTTAGTTTATGCCATCATCTTTTCTGTACCAGTACAAGAAGAGCCTCCTACTGGATTCTCTGACTTGCCTTCACTTCATTCTCCACACAGAAGCTCGTGGTCCTTTAAACACATAAATCAGATCATATTATATGAGTGATGACAACCTGCTATAGCTGCCAGACCACTTAAGTTGATGACATTGCCAATATGGCTGTACCTGTGCTCTATGTCAAATATTTAAAATTGTATTTTAAAATATTTGAAAATTTAAGCAAGAAATAATATCCTTTGTAGTACTTGTATAACCAATAGTTTTGATATTCACTGAAATCCAACTAGTGGAATGACAACCAAGGGAGCTGTCACTCATTTCTGTGGTTCCGCCTTTTAAACCACTGCTATGCATTTGGGATCAAATTAGCCAGTGCTGGCTATGACACTCACAGATGATTCCTGCTCTGGTTGTTTCTGGACTCATGTACACTACAAGAAGAGACTTGGATACTAAGTGTAAGTTTTGCTTATCTTGCCATAGTGTTAAAGTATGTATACTTTTCTCATACATATAGATTCATGTTTATGTCATTGAAAAAAGTATTTCTAATAAAATCTAGCATTTTTGTGTTTGAAAATTATGACTTTTAATGATAGTGATTTATCAGTAATACAAATATTCATCTCTTTTAATTAGTGGAGACAAGTCTCAAGCTGAGAATCATTGAGTGTCAGTGCTTGCTTAATTGGTGCAATTTTCACTTTGTTGAAAAATACATACCAATGCCATTTGTTAAATGATCTGAACTTGCTCTCATTGAAAAACAAAGGTAGAAAATGACTAAGCACATTCAACATGGAAGTGTTTCTTGTTTTTTGTTTTTTTTTTTTGTAATGCTTTCAGGTTTTCCCTGAAGTCTGTGACAAACCTCGGTATATGCAATATGAAAATCCCAAAACATCTTACTGATGTTTACTTCAAGAATAAGAAGCTGAGGAAGCCCAGACACCAGGAAGGTGAGATCTTTGATACAGAAAAAGAGAAATATGAGATTACAGAGCAGGGCAAGATTGAACAGAAAGCTGTGGACTCACAAATTTTACCAAAAAGCAAAGTTCCAGGGTTACTTGTGATCTGTGTTTGCCCTGATGAATGGAATTTATCCTCACAAATTTGTGTTCTAAATGTATTAAGAGAAAGCTAATTAAATAGCTGACAATGACAACAACAACAAGACAACAACAAGAACATTAAAAAAGATTCTTTTTTGGAATTATTGACTTTGGCTGAGAATGTGCACATTAGAAGATGTCTTTGTTGCTTACTTGAAAATAATATAGTAAATGATAGATACTTTAAATTATTTAGCTATTAAAATAATGATATTTTAAAGTACTACTCAAATTAATGGAAGAGAAAATGAAATATGGGGAAATTACAAGTCAAATCTCTACCTGGAGTGAGAATATATTTCAGAAATTTAAGATGATCAGATTCTTTATTTTGCTTAAAATTTTCTTCTTTATTCCCAAACTTTTTCTTCTTTCCTTCCTCCCTTTGTGCTTTCCTCCTTCCATCTCTCTCACTTCTTTTCCTTCTGCTTTCTTTCCTCCCTTTCTCCCTCCTCCCTTACTCATTTCCTTCCTTCTTTGTTTTTGAGTCTTTTCCTCTTCTCAGATCTCATGCCCAAGGATTACCTTGTAAGGGATCCCTTCTTCCACCTTTGCTTGAAATTTATCGTCATCACTAAGTTCACCTGCCTCCATGACTTCAGCTAAATCCAAGACAATGACAAGCACATTCATATCTCTAGGCATCACCGTTCCTTAAAGTACTGGGTTTCTAGGATTACCTCAAACTCAACATACTCCAATGTGAACTTACTAATTGCCTTAACCAATTTTCCCCTTTCTCCCATTTCCACTTTGGTTATGCTTGACCAAGGGATTCTCACCATGTCTCCAGTTACTCAGGCTAGAAATTCTGTCAACCTACACTCTGATCTTCACCTCACCCTCCACCTCGTGTTCCCAGGGTTACCAAACCCTGTTAGTACTACCACTGAATATCTTTTTATTTTCTTTCTTTATATGCAGACCTGTCACCATGATTAAAACCCTCAGCCTGTCTTGCCTGTGCTTTTGAAACAAAATATTAACAGGTTTTCTAGCTTTCAGTTTCCTTGGTCTCCAATCCATTCTTTATGCTGACTCCAGAGTAACATTTCTGTAACCACGATATGATTGTGTTATTTTTCTGCCTCAAAACCTTTGGTGGTCACACACTATCAAGCTCAGACTCTGTTGCAGGATATATAAAGTCTTTCACAACTTACATTTCCGTCCTCATGTGTTAGCAGTATGGGCAGTGCTAGGTAGTGGTTAGAACTTATGCACTAGAGCCTGGCTATCTGGGTTTGTGTGTTAGTTTTGTTCAAGCGAGATCTTGAACATGTTATTTAGCTTATCTAAACCTTAGTTTTCTTATCTGTAAAATTTGGTTTGGACATTTTGAAGATTAAGTAAGCCAATGCATGTAAAGGGCTTTGAAGAGTAAATGTTAGATGATTTTAAATAAATTAAAAACTCTTTCTATGTGCATATGGACTTTCACACTATTCTCCAAACAAGCCACATATTGTCTCACCTCTGGAAATTTGCACATAGATATCAGCTCAAACATCCTTTCTCTGGTGAAATTTCTCCAAGATAGGCTAAGTATGCAACTCCCTTCTTGTTCCAGTAGGGCCTTGCACAAGCTTTAGTACAACCTCTGTTGAATTATATTGAAGTTGTTCATGTAGTTATGTCTTCAAATAGATTGTCAAAGTGGATGGTCTTATTCATTTTTAAATTTCTTTCTGTGCCTATCATATAAGAAGTGTTCAATAAACATTTGTTAAAGGAATAATCGAGGCATTCTCTTTTCCTGGACTTATGTTTCAGTATAATAAAAGTTTTTTTTTTTTCTTTAAGAGGACAAAGAGAGATTTAATAATTTTGTGACTTGAAAAAAAAGTTGGGTATTTTGGGAAGTTTTGAATCTGCTCTTGCAAATATCATTAGTACTGCTGAACTAGAGCAAACTGTCCAAGTAGGTAACGTAGCCCCTACTCCACCACCTCTGTTTCCTCTGGGATCCCCTGCATTCATAATTTGCTTTGCTTTCCCCAGCGCAACCTGCCGGCCATCCTTCTCAGGACTTCTTGCTCCATGCCTTTCCTCACCCACTCATGTTTATGGAAGTTTAGTGATTATTACATCAATCAAAGATGTAACTGGGTTCTTCTGGTCCCATCTCAGATAAACAGTCTGCACTGTAGCATCTGGGAGAAAAGAGGCTTTGACTCATAGGAGGAGTTTACTCCTGTGCTGGCAACATCATAATCTTAACCAGGGCAGTGAAGGAGACATTTTATTAATGATGAGCCTCCTCCAAATCAGTCTGTTATGAGTAAAGGAGCTCTAGACATCTGTGTTCTGTCAACTGTCACTGGATTCCTTCATTCATTGTGGTATAGTAAAAAAAGCATAGACTCTGAAGTCAGGAACACCTGGGTTTAAAGTTTCTCCCAAAGGTCCTGCTTTTGTTATTAGTGCACAATTTCCAGCTATAGTATGGAAATGATGCCACCTATCTATGAAGTGTTGTGAAGCTTAAATAAAACAGTGTGGTCAACTGCTTAGAAACGGGCATGGTACACAGAAGTCCATCATCAATAAAAGACATAACTACTACTATTTTTCACCTATTCCAATTTTAATTGAGGGCTAAGTTCATACTAGACATTGTATTGTAGCTGAGTCTATACATAATCACAGGTATTTATTTGAGCTCAGATTTTTGTGCTTGTTAGCACCCAAATCTTTTAGCCACTTTCCTCAAATAGTTTTCCACTTTACGGTTAGGATCAATTCTCCTTGGGCAGAGAGAAAAGGATGTAGGTGGAAAAGGACAAGACTGTCATTGGGACACAAAATTGATAACATGTCCTAGAATGCAATGTGCCACCATGAAAATGATTTAGAGACTAGAATCTGCCAAAGTTAATCAAGGAGTATTAACAGCTTGTTGAAATTCCTGATATTTAAAGGTGGGGGAAAGAAGAGGCAAGCAGAAGAAGGAGGCCATTTTGTTGCTAAAGTGTTTAAAGGCATAAATGTAAAAAGCCCATAATGTTTAGCCTAGATCATCAACTCCAAAATATTGTGAGTCGGCTCAAGGCTTGACACTGATCTCTTTTCCTCATTTAGTAGCACATCTGAATTTCTTTAAAAAATGTAGTAAAGGTTCGAGATGAAGACCCCAAATTCTCAACTTAGATCACAAATACTGCTGTGTAACAACACTGGAATGCATTAGGATCATTAGCATACCACCTTTAAGCAATTTTCCCCTAAATTAAGAATATTTCATGATTGAAATCTATTGGAAGACTATTTGCTCCTTTTCCTACACAGTTTCAATAGGCTTGTTCTGCTCTATTTGTTAATAGCACACACTGCTTCTATCTCTGCAAGTAGAATCTTTCTAAGACCCTGTTGTAGACCTTTGATTAGCTCTCAGTTGCTTGAAGGCAGTAAGTCAGGGATCATTCAGGGACTCTGTCACCCTCAAAAAATTGAGCTGACTTCTCCAGGGGAAAACTGCCAAGTTTCATTTTTGGATGAATTTCTTCAGCAAAGATTTCATTTGGCATACATATGGAAAATTGCATTATCTTTTCCATTTACTTCACTATTTAACCAATAAACATCTCTTCCTCAAATGAACCCTGTGGTATAATTTTTGCTACATTCCTGTGCCCTTTTAAATGTGATGGTCAAGCTATAGGGACTAAAGTTGATGCTAATGTTGATGGGATCAGATTAAGTTTAAGTGCAATTTTGAATTTATCGCAGTTACTTTTTTCAACCTTAACTATAACTGGAAAATTGTGACAAAATGCTTAATAGCATTACATGAGACAAAAATTTTATGTCCTTGCACAAACAGTTTAATTGACAATCTAGCAAAATAATAAATTATCAATTGATAATGAATATATCTAAAATTTCAGGCAGGATTTTAACTTCAGTTTAAGCAATCTTGTATTACATGAAATGAATTACATATATAGCTCGAATCTTTTTTTAATATTAATCTTTTTAAAAACATTGTCTAGAGCAGTGCTTCTCAAGCTTCAGTGTGCTTTAGAATCACCTGGAGGGCTTGTTAGACATTGCTGATTCTCCCTTCCCTCCTCCTTCAGCCCCCACCCACAGTTTTCGATTCAGTTAAGTTTGGAATTGGGGCTTAGAATTTGCATTTCTAACAATTTCTCAGGTGAGGCTGCTGCTGATCCAGGATATACCTTGAAAACTACTGATCCAGGCATTGTGGCATAAAGAAAGAAGAGAGTCTTAGGAAACGGGTTCTTGTACCATTGGCTCCTCCACATACAAGCTGGGTAACTTTAAATAAATTTTCTTTTGGGCAGGTTATATTTTCATTTACGAGGTAGGGATAAGAATGCTTTTCCTTACTACCTTCCATGGACAGGAGGATCAAATACTATATTTTGAGTAAATACAGGACACAGAACAGGAACTGCTCAACAAAACTACTGGTGCTTCTTAGGTTATTATTTATAAAAGAGTACTTTGAATTAATTAAGAAGCCCTGTATTATAGAACAGGAATTCAAACCTCTCAGTTTTCTAAGAGTTGTCTTAATTTACATGCTGCATAAATAGTAATATTAGCAGAGATGCTCAGGACTCCAATATATAATCAGGTCAGAGAAGCTGATTACAGAGATGGTAAATTAATCTTCTTTTAGTACTAATTAGCATAGAAACTGTGTTTTGAGTCTGCATTTACTTAAGAAGACCTCCGTCTACTTCTCTTATTTTTACTCCTTTTTAAAACATCTATTTAGGACCAACTGTGTGTTGGGTGCTGAGTTAGGAGGTGCAGTGGCAGAGGTGTGTTCATTGTGCTCACAGCCTGTTAAAATACTTCCTTATAATTCAAAGTGATAACTGTTCCATAGAGGAATGTGCTAAGCAGTGAGGGAGCACAGAGAAGGGAAGACCTGATTCCGCCTGAAGGGGTCAGGGAAGCCTTCCAGTTAATGTTGCTTTCTTTAAAAAGTGAATGTAGATATATCTTTAAGTCACTTCCAAAGTCCCAATCAAATATATCTTCCTTCTAATCCAAAAGAAAAAGCAAAGTTGAATAAAGAGGAAATGCAGTATTTATTTAAGGAAAGCAAACACCTCACAGTAGAATATGATTTTTTTTTTTCATTTTAAATTCTCCTGCTTCTCAGGACTAAGTAGGTTCATTCATTCATTCACACACCCACTCACTCATCCAGTCTTTATATTATTACACTGATCTAGACATTTCAGGGGCTTTTCAAAGGACTTGAAATCTCGATTGTCATGGTCAATAAGACCATGTATAGTATGGCCATGCAATGGCATGATATGGTCACTGCCTTCCTCACCTCCTTCACTTTTCTCTGCACTATCTTGAGCCACACTGGTTACCTCTGAATTCCTCAATCAAACCATCTTCCAAAATGCAATGCCTTTGCGTTTGCCTTTTCTTCCACCTGGCTCTGTAGCTAGCTGTTCTCATTCACTGGCCTCAATTTATATGTTGCCTTTTCAAGATGCATTTCCTGCTACCTGAATCTAAGGTTTGCCCCCTCACTCTCATAATCCTTTATCAGACCACTGAGTTCTGTTCTATTGTAGTATTTCACAGGTTTAAGTGAAATATTGGTTGGCTGCTTGTTTGTTATCTTCCTCCCTTATTCCTTCCTGTCTCCATTGTCAAGCACAATTATTGGCATAAAAGAGGTTTTTAATACCCATTTTTAGAATGAATACATTTCAGTGTCAAAGATGAATACCCATTTTTAGAATGAATACATTTCAGTCTCAGGTGAAGCTGAGAACTTTATTATTATTATTCTTTGGCTGGAAAATTAAACAAGTGCCCAGCTTTTGAATAGTGAGGTTGGGGTTTCAGAGCTTCTTCCCTGTGACTTGGCTCCCAGGAGGAGCAAAGGGGAGTTTACCTTCCTGGAACACAGATGTGGCACCTACTGTCCCTCCTTTGCCTCACTCAACAACCAGTGCCCTTTCTATAAGGGTTGCTGTAATAAATTGAGCACCCACAATGCATAGCATTGGAGTAAGTAGGTAGGCTATGTTACACTTTAATTCAACTCAAGACATTAAAAAAATGTTTTGTACTTACTAATTTGGAAGGCAATGGTTTTTTATATGTGGTCCCATTCTTAAAAGGATTTCAGCTTAGTTGGGGAGATAGCAAATATGGTCAGGTAATTTTAAAATCAAAACTAGAGAAATTTGTAACTGTAAAATGGAATAAGAAAATTGGACTTTGAATGCTTTAGGACTAAATGTTATAGTCTTACAAAATTGCTCTATTCCTACTGAGGACTTGCCGTGATTTCTGATGTGAAAGAACTCATGACTTTAGCTAAGGCATCCTATTATCTAGCAGAAGTTTCTGCAATAAAGGAAATGTTTGATAATCTGTGCCATCCAATAAGGTAGCCACTAACTACATGTGGCCTTTGAGCCTCTGAAATATGATTAGTGCAACTGAGAAATTAAATGTTTAATTTAATTTATATTAAATTAAATAATCACATATGGCTAGTGGTTATTGTATTGAAAAGCTCAGGTCTGAGGGGAAGAATTTGTGTCCACTGAAAGGTGCAACAGAACCAACTCTAATGAAACATATGTTGAAAAATCTAATTATCAGAAAGTGACTTATTAGGAATAGCACTGTGGCACAATATGTTTATTATTATAAAATAGTAATTCTGAATAATATATTTGGACCATCTGT